TGCCGTTTAGAGAGCTACACAGACTGGCATGGGGGGACAATACAGGTCATCTCGGCAGCACAGGTGGAGTGGGCCAACACCACAGCAGGGTCTGGGAGAATTCCGGGAGAATTTTTACAAGACAGAAATAGAAAAGACGCTACACGACGTTAATTCTGACAATCTAGCATTTGACATGAGATTTAAGATATAATTTCACTGCTAACTGCCTGAACGGTCACTGGGGCTTTACGTTCTTTGTTTAATATGGCCCTGCAATAGAGAAGAACCTGGAGTGACTACAATCATGTGAAGATTTAAACATCACAGTAAGCAGTCCCCCAGTCACCAATTAAAGCCAAAAAAGGAAACATTTAGTTAAGTAGCCCATTTTTGGAATTTACTACCTCCTGCAAAACACAGGATTGTTTTACTTTTTCCCTTTGATTAAAAACTCTCTAGGAGGAGAAGTGGGGTGGTTGCGTACCTATCGACGGAGATTTGAAAGGGTATTTATCAGGAAGATCCACTCTAACTTTCCACACTCCTCCTTCGTATGGTGCTGAAATGAAAGGAACAATGCGAAGTATTAGTATATTCCAGCTGGAAAATAAACCTGAGTTTATGAAATCTTAAGCACTATTCCCTCCTGAGAACCTTGCAAATGAATTCCTTCAAGAATTACAACCTAAAAAACCAAAACCAAACCCACTACCATCAAGTTGACTTCAACTCATTGTGACACTACAAGCACCCTATACTCGTATTTAAATGCTTTTCTTTAAAAGATGCAGAGTTCGCGAATAAGCAAAGATTCATTCTCTTCCCCAAACTGACTTGTTTCTTCACAGGATTACACGCTACTCCATTATTCGGTAACAAGAGCCATGTTCTTTCCCCTCTCATCTCAACTAACCCCTTCTTCCCACCCAGCACAAAAAACAAACACGAACACAGACAAACAAACCCCACTTCCTACAAAAAAGAAAAGTACATTACAGTAATTACGCCTAGAGCAACACTTCCTCACTGGCTCTAAAGTTCATTAAACTTACTTTTCAAAAGCTACATCATCTGTCTTTGATACTCTCCTTGTCTACGAAGGAAACACAGTAAAAGACTGTAATAGAGGAACACAAACCAGCACGTGTACTTACTTCCTTGTGGTCCATAAAACTTCACTACAAATTCATTCAGTCCTCCCAGGATCGTAACCTCATGCTTACTTTCAATGCTAAGGTGGAAGGTAAAGGAAATTACACAGACATTCTATTACCTGGAAGGGACACTGGGGACCCCAAATAATGTCATTTAAAGTGTTAGCAAAATCTGATATGAAACTGGCAAACATATAATAATAATTAAGGCAATTTG